GCCAGGGCGGCCAGGATGTGATACGATTTGTGGACACTGTTGAACCGCGTTTACATGTGCCCGTCGGCTGCCAGACCATCTTTCGGCGCGAGGCACACATGATTGCAGACCAGGGACAACTGTCAAAAGGATAGTCCGATTGTGTCGGAGGGTGGGCTGACTGAGTTGAAAAGTACGTATCCTCTTCGTTCAGAACAGTTCTGCAGACATGATGCCAATCCAAAACCACCCCGAACAGCCTGGTCCAGTAAAAAGTCCAACCCGATTCATCGAATCTTGGTTGTTTGGTTTGCACGTTTCGGAGTTCCTTCTGCCGTGCCATGGCGTAGCTCATGTTTCCTCAGCGGCCTCGGCCACAAGCACCAGGCCCCGGGCCACCGCTGCGAGGGCCAGGCGGATTTCCGCCAGGTGCTCCGGGAGGGCCGTGTGCACCCAGAGGCTATGCGCCAGGGCCTGCAGGCTTCGGTGCGGTTGGGCCAGGGCCAAGTGGGCCAGCTGGTGGAATGCTTGGAATGGGGATGCCAGGGCCGCCAGTTGGGCCGCCAGTTGGGCCGCCAGTTGGGCCGCCAGTTGGGCCGCCAGTTGGGCCAGTTGGACCATGTGGAATGCCGGGACCCATGGGCCCTCACCCCATGGCCATGGGTGGATTTCAAGGTTCTTTTGGATCGGCACCAGGAGGGCCACTAGGGCCGCCTGGTGTATCCGGAATGGTTGGGCCCAGTCACCCTAGCCCTTGTCCTCCTGCGCCCAGTTTCGCTGCTCAGCGGCCGCCGCCACAAGTGCCCCAACACTGGGGACATCAAGCCGATCAGGGGAAGGACCCCTTGCTGTCTCAGGGAGAGCAGGCTGCGGAAAACGCTGCGCATGGGGAAACTCATGGAGAAACTCATGGAGATGGTCATGGTCATCATGAGTTGGCTATGGTCAAGGCCATTGATGCCAAACCTTGGAGCACCTTACCCAACATTTGGTATTTTTTTTGTTATTCTTCTTTGACTGTTAGTTCATTTCTTGCGAATCTGATTCATTCATTTTTCAGATGCCAAGGATTTCTATTTGGCGGTTTTGCCTGCCTGGCCAGTTGCTTTCTCTTTATTGCAGTCTTGCTTTTGTCTGGAGTGCGGATCTTAGATCCGCGCCCCAACGACATCGTCCCAGTGATCCTACGAGTGCCTCGCAGCATTTCGTCGGTCGCCCTTTTGTTCCTTTTCGGTTCGTCACAGACTCCTTGTTGTTTGCGAACTGCTAACTAGTTTTGCACCTCTGTTTTTCGTACGATAAGGTTGTGATTTTTTGGTCCAACGTTTTCGTGTCACACTGTGTGCTGTGGCTGTTTGACTTTGAATTCAGGAGCATATAGCCAAGAAGAGGCACGGAAGTTGGGACACTCACTGGATTGCTCTTGCAACCGAAGGGTTCATCCTTTTCCAGCTCTCTTTTACCCTGCTTGCGAGTAGCATCAAGCCGTGTCGTGCGCATGTCAGCCTTTGGAACAGGCAAGATGCTGGGCGCAGTCTCAAAGAAGTGGCATTAGCCTGCCCTGGTTGCGAAGACCTGGAGGAACGTTGCTTGCTTCGATGTTGGACTTTCAAGCCTCTCCAAACTCAACTCCTTGCAGCTCTGTGAGTGTCTTGTCTTGTTTGATTTTGTTTGGAACGGGCACCGGATACATGGCCAAATGAGGTTCTGAGCGGATGTTCTACTTGCACCTGATTTACGTGCCTCTTCCAGACTTTGGTGGCTGCTTCTCAATCAGAATAGGAATGAAGTAAGGAGTTTCAACGAGTTGTATAACCCTTGAGTTGAGTCTGTTCTGCTTGCTAGCTAGTCCTTCACACTCCCACAGGACATATTTGGGAGCCAACTCTGGATTCAGTTCTGTTTGGGAGCCTCCTGCTCTTAAATCCAGAGCTTTTGCTTGCGACCACCAAGTCAAGGGTTCCTAGACTCAAACCCCCACTTGAGGTCATCTGGTGCAAGGGCAAGAATTACATCTTGAATCCTTCACACATGTCTGCCCCTGCTCAACTGGTCAACTTTGGCTCTTGGACCTCTACCTAATTGTGGCAAGTAAAAGACGGACCATCACAGAGACAGAAGAAGAGGAGACCCAACAACTGAAATCCCCCACTTGAGTTCATTCGGTTTCTCAGGTTGAATGAGGACTGAACTCTTATTCACATGGCGACTTCACTGGTCCAGCAGTTCAAGCGGTCTTAACAAATTGTAAGGGGATGATATAGATCCAGATTTAGATCTTCTGGTGGCAGTCCATCGCCATAACCCGCATAGTGAACAAATAACTCTCGCTCTCGCTCTCGCTCTCTCTCTCTCTCTCTCTGCAACTCTTTGTTTTCATTCCACTTTTTTTCAGCTTGTATGGGGCGTGCACGGCTTGTTGAGTGTTCACTGAGCAATGCAGAGTCACCCACATCCACACACACACACACTGCAGTGATAGAATGCCAGTTGAAGGCAGTAACGCAGCTTTCACATTTGTTTCAAGACCGCATTTGTTTCGCAACAGACGTGAACCGATGGGACGACGACGTACTTTTTGAGCGCCAGGAAGTGGAGACAGAGAGTGGGACCTTGTGGGACACGAACATCCTACGACGATCCTTGTCAATCGAAGCGCTGGTTTTCTTCTGGCCCGGGCGGGGTGACTGAAGCGTTTGGGATCCACTGTCCCGGAAAACAATCTGCGTAAAATTCTGTAGACATCTGACTTGTCTGCAGAGCTTGGCTCTGCGGAGCTTGGCAGCTTAGGTATTCATGATGTAGAGAGGAAGATCTACGAAGCACGCGGCCTTGGGCCCGACGGCCAGGAGAAGTGTATCTGAAGAAAACCGAATCTGTCGGTCGTCGACCATTCCGGTGTCATCTTGGAAGATGCGGATCAATTACACCTGCAAAAGTGGCTTGTTCTGCTTTGCTTATTTGCTTAGATGCGTAGGCTTTGTAGGTGTACACCTGCAGACCTGCACAAAAACCAACACCTCGTGAGTTGGATCCAACATCATTTGGGACGGTGGGGACTCCGGCCCAATGAACCAATAGGATCCAATAGGATAGTCTGACAAGCAGTGCTTGGGCAGGTTTGACACCCTGGGAGCATAGAATGTCACTAATAAGGTATTGCGAGGTCCAATCACGACTTACAAAAAGCTCAGCACCTCATTTGTATGAACAAAGGGCGAAGCTTGAAGTCTCGTCTTCAGGGTGGATGTGCAATGTGAACACGGCGTGCAGGATCGATTGTGGGAAGTGCTCAAAGCCTGGAACGGATGTATCAATGTTGGCTCATAGACACCACTGAGCACGGAAAAAGACACACACACACACACACACACACCTGCGCTGGTCTGTCAAGTTTATACGAAAGACATGTATTCTGTCTTTGCGTGTTCTTTTGTGGTGAGTTCTTTTGATCAGGAGTGGGCATATACTGCCGCCAAGCTGCATTTGGGCACAGGACAACATGAGGCATTCTCATCTAATCTGAGTGAAGGTGCAGAGACGGATGAATATTCCATGAAATGGTCATGCTTCGAACTCGCTTGTTGCCAAGGACATGTGCCTGTTGGTGAAGCCTGACGAGCAGTTGGAGAAACTGGGTCGAGACAGGAGCTTAGGAGGGAGCTCCATGGTCGGGACAAGGAGAGGTCACTTCAAACCTACCAGCAGCCTCCACCCTAACAGCGATGGCCTCCAACCTACTAGCGACCGCCGACCCTCGAGGGTCGCGATCTTTTCTTCCCCGAGGTGGTGCCCCGCGAGCCTCGCTGCGCTTTGGCCTTGAGTCCATTGCTTTTTGTGGCAGACAATGTGTGCCTGGGCTTGCATCGTGACAAACAAGGGGGGACTTCTTTGTGCCATTTCTGTGGCTGTGTGCTATATCAGTGCCGCTTCAAGGCTGCCTTTTGCAGACCCACCGCCCTTTAAATTGCAAAGTGTCTTGATTGCATGTTTGGATAAGACTTTGGCTGGGCTTCCCTTTTGCAGCAGCGGATTTGCCTGATCACCATTGGTTGTTGTTGTTGTTGTTGTTGTTGTTGTTGTTGTTGTTTTAAACCCACTGACACTATGCTGGATAAGAACTACTCTGATTCTCAGGGCCCTCTGTGCCATTTTAGGCAACGCCGGCCCTTCCTAAGTTCTTTTTCGGAGTGGACCTGCAGTCTTGACCTCAAAGTCTAGCAGCTTCACAGCCTGACCCGGTTTTCCATCGGGCAAAAAACACCATCGACCGATGTTGCTCCCTGTTCGAACTGAGCTCCCGGTGAAGACCAGTCAGACTTCCACCGACCCAGCTGGGGTTTGTGTTCTCGCACACCTCGCACTGACCAAGCTGTGGCCCGCACTGGATATCTTTGGATAAACGAATCGCACCATGCCTGGAGCGGATCTCAGTTTCAGATGACCGGAGCGATGAACGATTTGGAGCGCAACTGTGTGTTAGCGATGTTCATGCTCTCCCAACAGAACATGCAGATCTTCAGATAGCTTCCTGCAGATCTCTCAGATACTCTAAAGACATTCAAAGACCAGCAGAGACGTTTTGCTCGGCTTCGTTGGTCGCGGTCGTGTCTTTGGCGGTCACTTGGCAGTTAAGGACAGACCCCTTAACTCGATGTGCGGTGCCACCGGAAGATACGCAGAAGGCAGCCGTGGGGAAGAACTCACCAACAGAGTGGTGGTTCAGGGATGGGGGAGATGAGCCCCACTGGCTGGGGCTCACCGAACTGGACCTTGTCCAATTCGCATGTGCTGGGCCTGGTTTGCCAGCTGGACTTCATAAGAGAAAAGGCTCAGTGATGGTATAGGCTATAGGAGGCATTGGGGGAAAAAAGAGAAGAGACCAAACTAGTGTGTTGGGGTAGGTCTTTTTGAGTGACCTCGTAGTTTGCTTTGTTGAAAATCCACCTGTCGGGTGCTTTGTTGGTGGTGTCATGCTATGGTGAAGCTCCTCGTCCATTTTCGTTGCTCTGCAGGAGAGCATGGAGAAGGCTGGTGGATTTTTCATGAGGAGAGCTCCCTGGCAGTGTTCAGTTCCACCAAACACGGCGACAAAGGTCCAACTTTGCAGCTTTCACCTGCACGTTCTCACCGGAACCGCGTTGTTCCTTGGGAACCTTTGCGTCCTCCCTGAAAATGGTGCCTCTGAGCAAATCGATGATGATCCAAGGCCACCAAGTACTATGATTCTTCCCTCGGCATGGACCCCAAGGAAAAGGTGGTCGAAAGTTGGTGCCGCTCCTCACAGCCTACTCTGCCCAAGGACAGACGCGGGTGCTTCGATAAACTCTCGGAAGTCCAAGCCGATTGAGCCGGAAAGTGGGGTTTTGCTGCTCGTGTTTGTGTCCTTGTGTTTGGGGGGAGGCGGTTCTTGAGACGCTTGAAATACTTGCACCTCTTAGACTCTTAGACCTAAAACAGTAGTAAATGATCAGCGGTGAGTTCAGCTGGCCACCAGGGCATGGGAAACTGTCAGTGTTTAGCACTGGTCTACAATGGTGCAGCTTGGCAGAACACCAGTGCTTCTGGTAGCTGCAGTACAGAAGAACTCTCAGACGCTGCACATCGGAGGTTCAGATGGCTCTCAATTGGGACATCAGTTTGCAGCAGATGTGGGACTTTGAATATGGCTTCAAGAAGCTTTTGAGACCCAAGGCACATTTCCGCGAGAGAAATTGAAAGAAGATTCCGCGTTCGGAATAGCTGACCGCCCTGGAAACCTTGTGTTTGTTTTTAGGCCGATGAATATGTGAGAAAGGTCATTGATTACTGGACCAGTATGCTGGCTGCAATCACGATGCAACCAACTGGACCCCAATTGGAAAAGAACATCTTGTCCAATTTGACGAGCCAAGGCTATGAGGATGATTCAGTGGAACTCTGCCGAAGAGGTTCTGATGCTTATCCGCAAAGTGCGGGTCCATCCAGAGCTGCGGGTTCAGGTCATTCCAGGGTGAGACTTGTGAGAAAGAATACAATGGATTTGAAGAGGAACACCAAACACACGCGGTTTGGCGTTCTCTTTTGACGCTTTCTACACCATGGAGCTGCTGATGTTCACAACAAAGTCGTTTCTTGCACGTTTAAACTCGCATGCAGAACCTTCTGTGATCTTCCACACCCGCCGGGTCTTCGCTACGATGTTCAACGCCGGCTGTGGTGGTCGGTGGTCATCCGCACGCCCCAATCCGACATCGTCCGGCGTCTCGAGGAGAAATGCCCGTGGAAGAACATCGAACGAAAGCACCCGAAACTCTGGAGCCGCTCGGTGCGGTGCGGTTGTCGAATGCTTCGTGCGGGTGGAAGAACATCGGCTCCGATAAGGCTCCCATTGGCTCCTTTTTGCGCTCCAAGTAGTTGTGATAGTGGATAGGAGTGGATGGTGTGCTGAGTGCACTTTTTTTGAAGATTTTGAAGTGAAGAGTAGCAAAGTGTTTTTGGGTACTTGAAGTCCTTAGGCAACCAAGCCTGCAAGGGTGACAAAGAGGAGAAGCTCATGGCACGGAGACGGTACCCGATTCTCAAGAGCCAAGAATGTGGAGATTTGACAGGTGCCTCGAATCTGTTGATGCTGTGGTGATGCTGTGGTGAGGTGCTTTTTATTGAACTCTTAAGGTCAAAGAGAGGTCAAACAGAAGAGTTCCTAGAGTTCCTTTAGACCTAAAGAAGACATCCAGTCAGTCAAGGTTCCTGCATCATTTAGTTGCCAGGCGATTATGCAGGCAATGCATTTTATGCTCGGCGACGATCAATTGACAGGGTTATCCCACATCCATTTGTGATGTCTGTCTTTCGGCTGAGATGTGATCAAACGAACGGACAGATCTGGTTTTCGTTTCTTATTTTTCCTCCTTTGGATGCCGAATGGCTTCCGGTGCCCTTGCAGATTCCGGTGCCCTTCTACGCAACGATTGGAACTGGCGACAAGCAACAGGACTGCAAGTGCTCACCTTAGAAACCTCGAGACGATCCTCGTGACGCGAGGAGGACCACGTCTTTTGAGGTTCGAAGAAACGGCGTCTTTTGGGGTTTTGTGGGTGTTTCAAAAGACCCGAAAGGAGCCGTTTTCCTTGGGGCCAGCTTTTTCCTTCACATCCTTTTTCCCATGACACTTCTCGTGGTCCTTTTTCTTTGCAGTTGATTCAATCGATAGCTTTGACCTCTTCAGGGCGTTTGATCGGTGAAAGGGTCGATGGCACCAAGGAAGGAGATGATCAACCGCCGCCGCACCTGGGGCTCCTGTTCTTGCCGGCGCCGCAGCAGCCAGGATAACTTGCCTGGTAAGGGCTGGTCTTGCCAGGGCAAAAGGACAGGTTGAACGCTGATTTTACTTTTAATTTCATCACGAAAGCTAGCACCAGCTAGCTGGAGTCGTTCTTGCTTTAAAGTGAGGGGCTGGAACCCTCGAGAGTGCCGCATCACGTAAAAACTTCTCAGCAGTTTGGTTGAACATACTTGAGACGTACTTTCAGATCAAAGTTGCTTTAGATCAAATAGTAGGATCAAATAGGATCAATCACTTCCAGGATTACTTTTCTTATTTCTATCACTTCTTGGTGTGTTATTTTCCTCAAAATCCGTCTGGCTCTTTCTCCTTGTCTTGGAGGATCGTGTACACCGGAGAGGGCCTCGGAAAGGAGCCTCCGCCTGTCGGACGACTGGCCACGACTGTAGAACGCGTCCGTCTGACACAGTGAGGAGCAGCTTTCTACTAGC